CTGAACAGGTCGAGGAGTCAGGAAGCCTTGTTTTCATTACTGTCAGTAACTGCTTATGATTTGGGACCATTTTCTTCTTAACTTTTCTCATCCATAAATCAGGATACAAAAAGCACAAGGTATGTATCTGGAAGATAAATATAGATAAATCATTCCGGAAATTCCAGAACCCTAAAGAATGCACACAGCTATGCAGGCAGTCAATTTTGGACAAAGGACACACTCCCTTTTTTACTGTTTTAAACAAAAGTAAATAAGTACCTGATGAATAAAAATAATCTACCTTTTTCAAAAAAATAAAATAAAATAAACTTCACTCACCCAGGGCATGGGGACCATTGAGGAAGAGGGAGTGGAAAGATTTAAGAGCAGGGGAGAAGGGGGAAGACCATATGGAAACAGGGTCCTACAAGCTCCTGGGACCCTGCACATATGATTCTATGGCAATGGTGTCAGCATACACAAGTCCCATGCAAACTCAGGCAGATAAAAACCCAGCATAGAACTGGGGAAATGAACAGACCCCAATCTTAGCTGAAAAAAACATTGGTAACTGATTACTGCTAGGTGAGGAAGAGATGATCTTCCTGAAACAAGACTCTAGATAGGCTGACTAGACCTCAGTGGATGGATTTGCACTAGGGAACGTCTGGGGACACAGACGTGATACATTGGACCTTAACACGAATGACAGAGTATATGGGTTTCAGTGGGGGGGGGGCATATGGAAGGGCGCCAGTGGGGATGTGGGTATAAAGATGATTAAGATTGTTTGAGCTATTCTGTATTAAATACACAAAAATTCAATAAAAACAAATTTTTTAAAAATAACAATCTACCTTTTTCAGGGAGTTATTTGAAAGATCTCACACTCTCCAGTGCTGAATCTGTAAGCTGCAAACCCCAAAATCAATGCTAACCAAAATGACAATAACCACTTCAGTTACACTGACATGTTTATGAAGTACATAGACTTCCGCCTCCAGCTGCACCTTACAGCAGGCTTCTGTTCCTATTAGAACCACAAAACAAGATGTAAACATACACATGCACAGAGATTCACATGCATAGGTGCACGCACATGCATACACACACACGTGTTTCCTGGTATCACAGAGCTGTCAAGGCAACCCAGAATTCCAGGCATTGCTGATTCTTGTTGTGGTTTGGAAATACAATGTTCCCGGGTTTGGTCCCCCAGCTGGTAGCACTGTTTGGGAAAGTTGTGGAATCTTTAGAAGGTGGGGCTCAGTTGCAGGAAGTGGGTTGCTGGGAGATGAACTTGAAGATCGAGTTATGGCCAGTCCCATTTCCAACTCCCATACTGTCTCCTCGCTAGCCCAGATACAAGCAAACTCCTGGAACCATGCCTTCTCCACCACAACACACTCCATCCTCCCAAAATTCCAGTCAAGTAAATCTTTCCTTAAGTTGCTTCTTTGGGGTATTTTACTACCCCAAGCAATATTAGCTATACTCAGGTGAAGTGAGAAAGGGAGAGAATTCAGAGACGACAACACACAAGTATCTCTCCAGAGCTCTGGGCAACCTCCCAGAAAGGAGGGCACAAAAGAAGTGTTTGGGGCTGGCAAAGAGGTCAAGACATGAGAGCCCAGGATTCCAGAGAAAACTGATGGAGACGAAGGCCTCAGCATTGACCTTGGACTAGTTTGCTCACTAAGCTGTTTAGGAAAAGGGGCTTATTACCCAGGCAAGTAGAGGCAGGGAACAAAACTCAAGAGAAACAGCCCCACACTTCCAGTAGGTACTCTGGAAAAGGGGTAAAGTGAGAAGCTGGAGTCGTCCCAAGACTGCACACCAGACTTGAATCTATAGGAGAAAATCCTTTCCCCTCCTGCTTATCAAAGGACCTTCTAGAATCCTTTTCAGATGGACAGCAAAAGACTCATGCAGCTTTCCACATAGACAGTCCAGCAGTCAAAATTCACCAAGCAAACTAAGAAATAGCATAAACTTACAGATGATCCAGATATCAGAATAATTTAATATACACTTTAAAGAAACTGTGATGATCGAAAAACACGTAAAGAGCAAATGAAGAACTGAACATTGTTTTAATAGCTAAAGGGTAACTACAGATAATGTGTATGATGGTCATAACCCTAACTATAGGTATACCAACTTGTTTAATAATTTGTCTTTGTTGTTTCAAACAACCTACTTCCTATGTAAAAATGCAGCTTTTAACATTTTTAGTATTAGCTTTTTATTTATCATTTCATGTGGGCATAGAGTGCATTTCATCATATGTACCCCATTACCTTTTTTTTTTTAAGAGCAGACTTAAAAAATTTATTTTTATGTGTATGAGTTTTCTAATATATATGTAAGTGTACCACATGCATGCAAACCCACGGGGACCAGAAGAGGGTGTCAGTTCCCCTGAAACTGGAATTACTGATGGCTGTTTGCCACCATGTGGGGGTTGGGAAGAACAGCCATCTTAACTGCTGAGCATCTCTCCAGCCCACATTACCTTCTCTTATCCCCCAACTCGTCCTTAATCCCTTCTTCCCAGCTAGTCCCCCTCCTACTTTTGTGCGCGCATGCACACTGAGTCAGAAGTTTTACTAGAATATGAGTGGATTTGGTAAAGTCAGTTAATGTCACTAAAAAGATTATCCTTTGATCATAAGACAAAAGAAATAAAGAAGATACACTAACAAACTGTATCAGTGTCAGACTTAAACCTCTTTTCTCCGGGTTCTGACTATCTCCTTTCTAGGCACACAGACCAGATAGAAATGACTATTTAGAGCATGTCTAAGTGTGGTCTGTGTTCATTTCAGGTCAACAAAAAGGAAAGTAGTTTTTCTAGTCACCTTTAACAATCTGCTTTTCCAGGTGGAGATACAGATGCAGTGGTCACCAGCACAGACCATCAAGCAAGAAGGCACCCTAGGTGGTGCTGAGCCTGGAGCTCTGAAGACCTTCATGAGCTCAGACTGGCCCAACTTTTAAGTAAGAGAGAAATAATGTAATTTAGTTCACTGTGCATGAGGATGCCTTTGTTAGTGACTTGGCCTTTACAGAAAAAGGTATATGATGATCACCATCCTAAATGGCAGCTACACCAACTTTTGCAAACCTAGTGAAAATCAGATATAAGTTATTTGTGAAAGGCAATAAAATTCAAAATTTTGCCAAAATTATCATTATCCTACCTACAACTGTGCATGGAAAACACTCCCAACTGTCAGTGACTTTGAAAACCCTGAATAATGTGAATTAATTTTCCTTTCTTGGGTTCCCCAGAACGTTCTATTTCAAACACCTGCAGAGAAAAGAGACATTAAGAAAAGGTATGGAGCCAGGTGTGGTGGCACACGCCTTTAATCCCAGCACTTAGGAGGCAGAGGCAGGCAGATCTCCGTGAGTTCAAGGCCAGGCTGGTCTACATAGTGAGTTCCAGGACAGCTGGGGCTACAGGGAGACCTGTCTCAGAAAAATTTAAAAATAATAAATCAATAAAAAGAAGAAAAGGTTTGGGATTATTGTGTGGGAGTCACTGTTGACACTGCAGAAGAGACCTTCAAAACAGAACAAATAATGAGCAAAGGAAAGCACCTGCTAGAGCCCAACTAATTTAGAGTTTGGCTGAAAAGAGAATATAAAAGAGGAGGGGGTCAAGGGCTGCTAAAGGGCATCAACTAGTATCTGTGTTCTTCGGTGAAGATTTTCAGTTTGAGGGCTGAGGGAGGGAAGTGGGTGTGGTGGTTTGAATGAGGATGTTCCCCACAGGCTTCACTTGTTTGAACACTTGTTCGTTCGGGCGGTGCAGTCTTGCTGGAGGAAGCACACATCATTGAGGGCAGGCTTTGAGAATTCATAGCCTCATTCCATTTCCAGTCTGTCTCTCTGCTTCAAGTGTCTACTTGTAGATGTGAGCGCTTAGCTTTCTGTTCTAGCTGCCTCTGCCATGCCTCCCTGCCAAGATGGACTCTTATCAACTCTGTAACCATATGCCCAAATAAACTCTTCCTTCTATAAGTTGCCTTGGTCATGGTATTTTATCACAGCAACAGAAAACTAACTAATACAGAGGGGAAAGACTGAGATGCTTAAAAGCCCACAGCCAGGGGTTGGGAACTTAGCTCAGCAATAAGAGTACTGTCCTGGCAAGCACAAGGCCCTAGGTTCAGTCCCCAGCACTAGGGTGAGAGTAAGGGGTGCCAAAGTCTGCAACATTGGAAGATGAAGAGTCAGGCCCAAACTAACTGCCAGACCTCTCCTAGGACTGTTCTGATTCCTAAACAACCAGTAGTTTGGGAGTTCTTTACACAAGACCTGAGCAGGAACAATCCAAACACCTGTGTCAACAATAACAAACCCCTGCAAGTCACTCAGGCAGACCCATCCCCCTTAATCTAACTACAGCCCTGAACCTCCAAATCATAGGCAGCATAAAAGCCCAAGGTCATGGTTCAGTTGCACAGTTCATGCTCAGTGAGGCTCCTCATTCAGGTTTCCTGATTATGTGCTATACTGAAATAATATTCCTCCAACATGTTCCAGGCAGGAGGGTCCCTCTTTCTACCCTTTCCTCAGGAAGCTGGGGGAAATAGTAGTCAACAATAACAAACCCCTGCAAGTCACTCAGGCAGACCCATCCCCCTTAATCTAACTACAGCCCTGAACCTCCAAATCATAGGCAGCGTAAAAGCCCAAGGTCATGGTTCAGTTGCACAGTTCACGCTCAGTGAGGCTCCTCATTCAGGTTTCCTGATTATGTTCTATACTGAAATAATATTCCTCCAACATGTTCCAGGCAGGAGGGTCCCTCTTTCTACCCTTTCCTCAGGAAGCTGGGGGAAATAGTAACAGTGGGATGCAGGGATCTACTGAATTGCTGGAACTGCCATGACTGTGGGATGAAAAGAAGGACACTTTTCCTCTGGTCTGGTCTGAGTCACAGTGAGTGAGCACTTAGCAACACAAACCCTTTTTCCTTTGCTTTTTGCTTTTTTTTAAAAATGTAGTGGGAAAGCGTCAGACCTTGTAAGGTAATGGACACAATGCCCTTAGTAGATACAGCATCTAGTTTAGCATCCATAGTTTTAAAAACCATAAGCTAAGAACAGAGACTGTACAAACAGGCTTAAATCTTATCACGTCCTCAGTACAAATTCATTACAAAATGTTGTTTGTACAAATCACCGTGATTTCCTCTTCCCTCCCCTCATACTTCTCAGTTTCCTTCTTCTCTTCCCAAACACAGGTCTGGCGGTCACCAGGACAGCCTTCGTGCCCCCAGCCTCGTCCTCACTGGAGCTGCTCGTGGTGGCACCGTTGTCCTTCTGAGCAGCTTTCACTAAGTTGGGCAGATGTGAAGACCTGACTTTTGACAGCTCAGCTTTTCTTCCCTTTTGTACGTCCATCACAGATGAACCTTCAGCATCCTCACCTGAAGACTCCCCGGGTGATTCGGAAAGGTAGGGGTCCCCCAGAAACCCACCACTTTTGTCCTCTCTGGGAGCACTTGAAGGCCTCTTTTGGGGGGGGATTGATGCCGCTCTTGAGCTCTTTGCTGGGGTTCTTTTCTGGGTTTTTGCTTTTGCTTCATCC